CTCGCCTACATCGTCCATATAGGACGACTCGGGAACTCAACTCCTACCCCGGGCAGCTCACCTATCCCCTTATGCCCAGGGGAAAGGTATCAAGCCGTTTGACAGCTGATGCTGGCTGTCAAACCGGCTTTTACGCAAAACAGGCGGGAGGCAGCAAACAGCTGCGACCGACGAAATCGCCTGCCACCGGAAGTCCCAGTTCCCTAGCACTCTTCCATTCTGTTTATTATATATCTCTTATCTTTTAAATGTAACCTATATGAAATAATAGTGAAAAATAAATCAAAATGTCACAAATAGTAGCCGAATAGATAACATTGTGTATAGTGAAACTTTGCATTAACTGTTCCCTTTTTAATGGACTTCAGATTCAGTGGATAAAATATTTGCCTCCAAATCTTCCCTGCCCCCTCCCAAAAATGGACAAAATCCATTTAATCTGACAAATCTGAGGCAATTAAATGTATGCTAATTTTATTTCATTTGAACTCATTTTACAGTATGTAAATGCAACATAATATAAATAATGTGTAAAATGTGTTATTTGTAGTTTTATGCAGTTTGACAAACTGCTGCAAATATAATTTGCAATTTAACAGACATTGTGGAATAATAGACTCTCCCTAAATATTTTATTAAATCAGAACTTCACTGAGTTTTTTTAAGGGCATTGTAAAGCAATGTTTGTAGTAAAAATTGTAGCCAAATGCTTTAAAGTTTCATTCATTAAAAGCTGGATTTTTTTCTCTATAAGGAAAACTGTCTCGGTGCACAAATTCCACAAGTATAGATCCTGGTTGTACTGCTGTTTCTGAAAATGGGACATGTGCAGGTGAGTATGCATATATGATGATAAAGAGAATAATTATTTAAGGGCCAAACAACCTGAAAGCAAAGCTCCCTGAAAACTTTATTCAGTATAATAAACACCACAAACATACTGATTATATTTGGTCAGCACCTAATCTTTTACTGCAGCTGCCAGATGACAACTGAAGATATTCTTGTTTCTTTAAATTCTCCATGGCAAAAGGAGAGAACATGCTGATAAATCTTGTATTTTATTTTTTCTGTGTTTCTTTATTTTCCCTATTGTTTATGGAATACAAATTTCTATTGAGAACCCTATTTTAAAAAAGGATGAACTCTGCAGTGCTTTCAAAATATGATATAGTTTGGATCTTTCTGATGCGACCTTACAACTTTTTCCTCTGTTTTAACAGTCTGTTAAATGTTAGTAAGCTTCATTTCCATGTTTACTATAGAGTAGACTTCTTGTTGAATGAAAATGTAAGTTACTGGTTTTACTCTGGAAACATAAATGGAACAATAATATTTAGCAGGCTGATAAACTTTTTTAGGTTTGTTTCTAAAGCTTGAACATTGTTTAGGTTTTTCCATGGGTTCACAAGATGAAAGATTCTGTACAGATAGTCCTTGAGTTAGGACCACAGTTGAGCCCAAAATTTCTGTTGCTAAGTGAGTCATTCGTTAAGTGGATTTTACCCCATTTTACAATCTTTCTTGCCTTAATTGTTCTCTCTCTCTCTCTCTCTCTCTCTCTCTCTCTCTCTCTCTCTCTCTCTCTCTCTCTCTCTCTCTCTCTCTCTCTCCAATACTTGCTGATGTCATAGATTCCATCTTGTTTTAAGTCTCTTTCGTGCCCTCAGTTCTTCGTGCTGTATACACAAACTTGATTTAGCTCATGCTATTCATCTAAAACCTTATTTTTAACCTTTATATTTCAATATGGAGATGAGCAATAGCAAGTAACAAAGGCATGCAAGATAGAATTACTGCTGCAGTTATTAACTTTGCATGATATTTCTTTTAAATATGCCAGGCCAAACGCTGTATGCTAGATTCCAATTTATCTTATTTAAAGATCTTTTAAAAATGTCAAATGGGTCAAGGAGCCTAGTAGACTATAAGGTAAGTGTCTGAAGGGAGGTTGGTGCCTCAGATATCGTATCATTTAATTACAAGTTACTCAGCCAAAGATTTATTTGCGCGTAAGAACCCTAGAAGAATTCTCAGCCTATATATCGCAACTATTATTAAGTCTCTCTGGTTTCCTTAAAAATCAGTTTTATGCTTCATAGTTGTTTTGTTTTTTAGATTTTCCGATCAGTACTACCACAGCTAGTAATGTCACCACAGCTAGTAATGCCACCACAGTCACCAGCCCTACAGGTAACAAAAAGAAAAAAATGTGCATTGATGTAGACATACTGTTTTAACTTAATGTGATCCAGTAATGAATCTGTAATAAAATAAGTATTTGAAGAGACATGTAAGTTTTTTACTTACGTGCTTATGTGATTCTTGTGCTCTAGAGGAATTGTGTTCAGTTATATCAGTAATTTGATAAATCTATAGATCAAGTAAAATATGCTTTGAGAGTATGTGTTAGTATTGTTCAAGTAACAGTAAAAAATTATAAATGTACAGCAATTCATAAATTGGTGTTTCTTAGTATTTCTTCTACAAAAATTTCAGTTTCTATATTTCCATTCTCTTTTCATGAGTAATTTCTTGTACAGTATAACTGGTAAAATTTTAAATGTACCTGCATTTACAGTATTGTTACTTGACTACTTTTAGAAATTCCCCCTAGTTGAAACTACTAAGTGATAATATTGAATATTGGAGTTTCAACCCAATTAATTTGCACAGCAACAAAGAGATCTAGTTGTGCTGAAATGTATAATAGTTATAGAAATAACTCATGAGGTGATATTCATCTACTTGATCAAGAAAATGCAAAAAGACACAAGAAACATATATTTTCTTCTTCAAAATCCTCACCGCCTAAATATGTAATAACAAATGTGCAGGCTGTATGCTCCTTTTCCTGATCTCTTTCCTCCACTAGTCTTAATAACAAGGCAAGGGTCTTGTTTTACATTCTTGTTCTTGGCAGTCTCCAATTGAAGATCAATATTTTTTGTGGGTTTCCATTTATGATATTGCCCTCTTTTATATTTGATTCTTAAATTGTGCTCAGTA